AGAAGCATGGGTTGGGAAAAACACTTGTTCCTGTACGTATACAGCTATTTCAATTAAGGTTGTTCCCCGAGCTAAGCGGAAAAGTCGAATACGAGCGCGAAAGGTTGCTGGTAATCGCTAATAACTTCATTCATTTATTAGCGAATCCCAGCAGCCTTTCGCGCTCGTATTCGACTTTTCCGCTTTGCTCGGGGGACAATCTTAATTGAAATAGCGGTATAACTGTATAACTGGTGTATACAATTGCGCAACCTACTCGAAAATATCACTAGCCTCCGAAAAAACTTCATTTATATGAAACTTCAAGTTGGAAACAAAATTTATTAAACTTCAAACAAATACATAATACGTTTCGGGGCACAGCCCCTTCGTCAGAAACGAGATAAGTTTGAGGTAAGATTGAGCCTAAAGTATTTAAAGACATGGATTGAACTTATCTCGTTTCTGACGAAGGGGCTGTGCCCCGAAAAGTATTATGTATTTGTTTGAAGTTTAATAAATTTTGTTTCCAACTTGAAGTTTTATATATATATATATATATATATATATATATATATATATATATATATATACTTGAAAAATAGGAACAAAGTTTGCCGTCTCAAGTAAAGCCCTTTGTCTGGAAGTTAAAAAGAAGCATGAGTTGGGAAAAACACTTGTTCCTGTACGTATGTTACACGATACAGACAAGTGGAGTAGCTAGCCATGCATGGCAACTAGTCATGGTATGCTAATAAACTGTTAAAGGGATTTGTAGATGTAAATTTCAAAAGAAACTTTTATAGGTTTATTTGACCTATCTAGGAGCCCTCTGGCAGGAATCGAACCAACTGTACGTACGGTCCTGCGATTCCGGCGCTCTAACTGTATAGTCTATTAAGATTTAGTATAAACCTACTAGTAGGTTATCATGTATCGTGCGTTCTGATCTAATTTGCTACGCAACTAGTAGGCCATTATATAGTGATAACCTACTAGTAGCAACAAGCGGCGAAGGGCGCAAGAGCCAATGGCCTTTTTTAATTATTCCTAAAGCTGCATTTAAAATGAAAAACTTATTTTAAGTTTTCCCAATTTTAATTTGCTCGTAAAGTTTTGAACATGAAAGTGACAGGCGATTTTGTTATTATTCCAAGGATATAGAATCGTTGAAACTCGTGCAACAATAGTTTGTAGCTTGTGCTTGTATTTACTGTTGCTATCATTTTAAAGAGTTTTTTTCGTTTATTAGAATGTCGAGATTTTGGCCGGGTTTGTTTTTTGCCTTTTTAATCGTCGAGTTTTTCGATTAAATTTTAATCTAAACTTGTGTCTATGGATTCTAGGTGATGGAAATGGTTTGCCTCCTTATTTCCCAGACATTTTAAAGATTTTAACGACATTCGGATTCTTTGGCGTGCATTTTTATTCGTTTTTTTAACGTAAACTTTATTTTGAAACAATTCGGGTGTCCACTTCATTAAATACTATTCATCGTGGCTGCAAGTTTTATCTCTATTGCCAGTATTGGACAGTCTCTTTCATCTCTATTGGACAGTTACTTGATTATACGAACTGAAAATGCAATGAGCTCAATCACCGGCCGTGACCTAGCCTGCATGGCAGGCGGTCCCTAAAATCGGGCAAGCCTGGGAAAGACCGCCTGCTGGGTTTGGCAGTGTAATCGAATTCCCCGTCCACCAGTGGACGGGAATTGATGATTGGCTGCGATTTTGAGCCACTGTCACTCAAAAGCGAATACACTTTTAATATGTCACGGCATAGTACTAATTCGCTTAGCTTTTGTAAAACTGAACCTTTCTCGAAAGTCGAAACGCGAACTGATTGTCCAATCTCAAACGCGAGCAAGAGATAGCATTTAAAGATTTACACCTTGGAAAGAATGTTTTGGCCGCTCTACCTACAGTTTATGGGAAAATCTTGATTTTTACATTGTTTTTGTTGGCGCGAGAAAATATAACGAAAATAAATACAGACGGCCGTACGTAGAGTTTTTATTGCAACGCCGACGGGTTTAACAGGACTACTACGCCCCTCTGACTGCGCCCAGGCCTATTAGCCGCTTCACCTTCTGAACTTTTAAGGCTTTCTTCAACACACGGCTTCGTTTAGGGAGACGAGACAGTTTATATTGGCAACTGACGTTTTTATACAACGGTCTATTTGTTCGATACGTACACAGGCAACGCGTTTTTGTCTCGTTTGATTTCAGGCAATCAGTTCGCTAGCGTTTCGGATCTTTCGCCCGCACGGTTTATAAACTCGGTCGGATAGTTCCGAGGTAGAACCGAACTTCGATTCCTAAATGAACAGAACACAATTCGGCTTATTGATCGGCCAAGGTTTTGCCACTGTCGTAATCGTTTCTCATTTTCCGCGCTTGCTTTTCTACCTCTTGTCGTTATTCAGAGGTCCTGATTGAAACTTTCAATGGCGTTTCTTTCGACATATTTTATATTTGCAATTTTACGACCAAACAACAACATAGTTCGAGTGTTTGACAGTTTGATTGTTAATATCTTTAGTGTTTGCTGATTGGCTAATTGGACCCGGACAAAAAGTGGGCGGTTATCAAATTACACTGCCAAACCCAGAAGGCGGTATTTTAGACTGCCTGCCATGCGGGCTAGCCGTGACCGTGCACAAATTAACACAAACTCAGACAAAAACATGACACAATAATTTCTGTTTAGTTTCCAGACCACCATATTTTGATAGACTATGCTCTAACCAACTGAACTACTGAGTTACAGTTATTGAGCTTTAACCACAAGTTCATGTATAAATGCTAAGGCAATGTTAAAATGTATTCATACAATATGCTAATAAACATACATTTAGATAGTCTAAAGACAATACATTTCTAAAGGTTTGAATAGTTTACAAATTTAAAATTTGAATGGCATGTCCAAAAATCCAGCAAAAATGACCAAATCTGTCCATACGATATAGCTCTGAAAACGGTTTCCAGAATACGTTTTTTCATTATTAACGTTACTAAGCAGTATGATTACAGTCAGTAGTGTTATAGTATGAAACTTACCAATACTAAATTGTAGAACAGGCTCTTGAATATCTTGAGGAGCAACATCATTAAATATGAGTCCTAAATCAAACATCGCACCGCGACGTAGTACTAAGACGTCGTTCTCATATTCATTTGTATGATGTCTTGTGGTGTTTTCGTTCCGATTGTAGTCGAACTCTACTGTAACTTCATCCATACCTAACAAAATACCAAATATAACTTAAACTAAGGTTTTAAGCGACAGCACAATCTGACTGTTGCAGTTTCATGCAGACACAGCGGGACAAACGCTCTTTATATTCAGCCCTTGCACTAGTTAACATGCACGGAAGCACGTAAACGAAGGAACTTCCTCATTAGTTAACATGCACCGAAGCACGTAAAGGAAGTTATTCGAAAATTTACAGTCTCAACCTGCGTCTTATTTTGAAGTATTGTATTCTCAAGATGTCTTGTTTCTTTGAAATTTGTTTTTTACTGAACGTTTTTTTCAGTCATGTAAATTTGTCATATAATAATATGTGCAAATGAGATCACATATGCATACTGCTTGTTAAAATTAAACGACAAATAGACCTTCTTATAATGACGTCAAACGCAGACAATGACAATGCATAAATTGTTTTTTCGCGTTTGACGTCATTATAGGTCCATACAAACCGGACGCGATTTGGCAACGCGACGCGATTTTCAATTTTCAATGACATTTAATTAAATTAACTTCAATATTTTTCTATGCTTTTCAAATATTCGGAACTACTTAAGCAATTTTAGTTATTTGGTCTACATATCTTGTAAATTTTTTATCCGTTGACGGTTTTATTTCTTTTTAAAAACTGAAAATTCGCGTCGGGTTGTCGAATCGGGTTCGGTCTGTATGGACCTTAAAGGCCCATACAGACCGAACGCGATTCGACAACGCGACGCGAATTTTCAAAAAAATTTACAAGATATGCAGACCAAATTGCTTAAGTGGTTCCGAATATTTGAAAAACATAGAAAAATAGTAAAGTTAAATGTCATTGAAAATTGAAAATTCGCGTCGCGATGACGAATCGCATGCAAACGCTTCGATTGCTATTAGGCGAATCTCCACTTGATGACTTTTATGACAATGTACTATACCACCAATAAACTAAAGTACAAGGCATTAGTTAAAAATTTGGCGGTTGTCAGGCGCTGGACGAAAAGTAGAAGTCAATCCTACTTTTCGTTGAGTGCCAGAAGATCGCTCTTCGAACATTTTTTCAACGCGCGGGAAATTGATACCTTTTTCAGAAAGCGGTCTATCAATTTCCCGCGTGCGTAATACAAAATGACTGAAAAACGGCAAACTTCGCAGGGCTATATTATTCGCATTTTACTACATTTCGCAACGAAACTTCGGAACATTACTAATTTTGTAATGCTCTTTTAATCTGTGATGAAGTTATCTAGACTTGTATAGGTCAAAATTTTGTTCATTAGGGAATATAGGTCCATTGGAGTGGCGGCAGCCAATAAGGAGCAGTGATTTAACGATTGTCTCGTTTCTTAATGAGGCTATATTGAATTTCGTTCGTTTACGGCCCACGGTGCATGTTAACTTGTACATCCTTCCAGAAAGTGTTCATTCTTGGCCATAAAGCCTCGTTTTTGTGATTGAGATTTTCAGTTTATTTAGAGTCTTTTATCATGTTACAAATGACACATTTGCGAAATCATTCAGTTATATTATAGTGAAAATAAAGTGACCTGTTTATAATTATATCATAGAAACAGGATAAGGCGCTCTAACGGCCGATGTATCCTGATCACGGAAACGAAGCTATGTAGCCACGGCTAAGTGTTATTCGGAAAGTTATATTGACGTCACGACACACAATCCTTGTAGTTGTTTAGTTTCCGCTGCGATATTTGGGAGGAAAATGTTAAAAACTGAATAAAAAACACACATAGAGGAAACTAGCCATCAATATTTCGCAGCTTTTCTCCTCAGCAGGTCGAGATGCCGCTTATTGCTTTCATTTAAACATGGTCAAAACGAATTCAGAGACGAAATTTTCTGGCGAAAGCAAAAGTGGTTCAAACAGCAATGGTTTTCTCCGCAGTCCATTATTTTTGCCAAAATCACGTGATTTCTTACAAAATTGCGTGATTTCCTACAAAATCGCGTGATTTCTTACATAGCCTGACTCACATTGAGTTCGGCGGCAATTAGTTTTCTCAATGACAATTTGAAAGTGTGTTGTGAACTTGGTTGCTGATCATGTCGTTGGTGACTTGGATTATAAAGGAGCGGAATTAACACTCTTTAAAGGGAACAAAGGCAGACCAGAATCTCATTATATGGGTCATTAACCGCTTAGAGCAAAAATCTCACCATCACCGTACCGCCATTATACACATGCGACCAAACCAACGCAAACGACAGATTTTACATGAAATGAAATCATTTCGCTGTAGATTTGTTGTGTCTTCGATTCAGCTTAACAGTTAACAACCCTGATATATTTCGGTTTCCACTTAATACAAATTGTATTTAAACTAAATTATAATCACTTGCTTTCATGCAAATTTTAAGTAACCATGACTGCACCCATAATGCAGGAATTTCCGCGCTGACGCTATATATTAAATTGCCGAAGAGTAATTTAAGATTTACAAGGTTTTAAAACGCCGATTATGCCATATTTAGCAGGGCTGGTGCAATAAAGTTATTGCCGGTTTTGATAAACATATCCAAAATGACATTTCAAAGTTGGATGAAAATTACGGTTGCCACAGAGATTTCTAATTCAACACTCGGTAAATTGTTAACAATTTCATTCTCGAATGAAAATGAAACTGTTAACAATTTTTGTTTTGGATTTAATTACAGTTAAATTAGCTTAGTTTGCGGATTCCAGTAACAGTATTCAGCTTTCCAGGGATCTTTCATAATCACGGAACGACCTTTCTTGGAAAAAATCATGATTCATCCGGCGAGGCAGGCCCGGCTCGTGTCAACAGGCTAACAGCCAATCTCGTACGAGATTGGTCAACAGCCCCCTAACAGATTTCATCAGTATGGATTTGTCAAATATGTTTATGTAAAGAGGGTACACTTATCTACAGAGTATCCCTGATATTGCACAGATTTCTTTCTTGTTCATATTTAGATATCTATATTTGTTTATCTGTTTGTAGTAATACGCTTGCGTGTATACAGTTGCTCATATTCAATTCTGTTAATTTAAAATAATAAACCCTATTCACCAGGACTTGTAGGAGTCCTAACTTTCAGACGAAGTGCCTTCGCTGAAGACTCCGCGGTTCAGCTCAATTTGTATTTGGCGATCACGTATTTGCATTGTATATATACGTGCAGAATTCGCAATTTTAAAAATTGATTCATCGATCTCTCAGATAGCCTGACAACAACATTCAAGACGTTAAACTATAGCTTTTTTGAAAACTGTGGTCCTTAAGGCTCGTAGAGACTACCGACCGGAATTGATCTTCCGGTAATATAATATCTTTGGTGTAGGGCGTAGGAACCGGGAGGGGCGGGGGCAGGCCCTTTCCGGTGGCAAAGTGCCCTCTACCTTCGTCGGAAAAATGTTGTTCAGATTGCATTTTTGCCTCGATGGCCTTTGAAACAGAAACTATGGTTTCCATTGAAACACATTTTTGTTGCCATAGCACAAGCTTTTCAATCACGTTGCAAACCGATTGAAAGTCACCGGTAGTATCTCTTTCAGAAGAAGGAGCTGAATTTTTTGTTTTTGTTTCTCTTGAAATTCGTGTGTAGTTGATATAGCATGTTTGATGTTTACTAAACTTCTTTGCTATCAGGTCAATACCTGTTACTGCAGTAATCATGGTTGATCGTTTCTTAAATGAGCAGCATTTTTCAGTGTCTCTTCAGCCGATTTAGTGAGATTCTTTGTTGGAAATTGAAATTCTCCAGCATCTTTTATTCTTTCTTTCGAACATATCATGCATTCTTTGGGAAATATCCCTCTTGAGCATGCAGCACCTGTCGCATAACTTGCTCTCGAAGGTCGTTTGTTGCTTTTCGTGGTTTCATTTTCGTTCTCCAATTTTCTTTTGAGCAATGCTGACCCCAATGCTCAGGCATAGTTAAATTTATGGCAACATTCCCTGTGATAGTTAATTAATTTTGAACGCTTAAGGTTTACTAGACAATTAAAATTCGTGCAAATTAGACCGCAGATGGCTTTAAAGTACCCAAAAAGAGTCTTAAAAGCCTAAAATCACCTCATTAAAACCATTTTTACACCGAAAATATATTGATTTTCCATGGTTGCTAAGTGTTGCTAGGCATTATATACTGACCAATGAGATAACAAATTTAGTTAAAGCAGGATTATGATTGGTTAAATCGATGGCTAGTTAATTATGTGCATTTATTTACATATTTTATTTAATAGCTAATGCAAATTTTATTAAAAAATAATCATGGACTTTGCAGAGGTTTCAGTTCGAAATTGTAGGCAAACGCCCCCCAGGACGCCCGTATAACATGCATTTTTGAAATCAGCGCCCCCCAACTTGACTAAAAAACGTTGGTCTCACGAATTTCCTCGCTGGATGACCTTCTTCCCATTCTCCTCCTTGTCTAATTTTCCTCTAATTTTTTCGTAAATTTCTCCACATTTTAGCTGATCATTCTTAATTTTTAATCTGTGTCGCTCGACTATTTTATTTTTTCCTTCCTATCCAAATCCATGTTTTTCCGACTGGGATTCAATATTTTGCCTACCGCTTGATGACTTGAGGTCAGAGGAGGGTGGAAGCTCTTCTCAGCATGCATTGCAACTCATTAATATTCACAATCATGATTTTTCACAATGTTAGTTGGAAAAGTTGTGGATATTTATTTCGATATTTCGCCACGAAAAGTTCGTATTTTTGAAGGTAAGTTTTTATAATTGTTTTAAATATGAGTCAAATTAACGATTTTTGCTTTATTTGATGTTTTAACAACGTTTAGTTATATGTTAATCGCAATTTGGATTGACCTGTTTTCCGGGTCAATGCACAAGTGTCAAAAGTGGCTTTCAAAACCGCTGGGGACAATTGGGTTTATAAATGAGTAAATTAAATAAAAGACACGCCATCGTATTCAAGAAGAGTTGTTCTTTCTATGAGAAGTTTAAAAAATGAATTATCCCCATCAAACTGACGAGTAATCGCGGTTTGAAAATGGGGCATTTTCGGTATACTATGTCGCCCATCGCGGGAATAATCGACCGCATGGGAATTATGCAGTAAGGTCGCAGCGCTCGGAACATTCATTCTCATTGGCTGATCGTTTACCCCCTGTAGCCAATCATAGTGTCACATATCATCAGACCAAGATCAGACGAAACTTCTGAGACCAAACCAGGGTTCACATTTATCTTCCCTTTTCACTTGTATTCAATAAAGCCTGATTTCCACTAGGCGGAATTTTGCGCGCGGAGCGACATTTTTCGCGCGGAGACTGAAAAAGTTGAACTGCTTTCAACTTTGTGGCTGCGGAAAATGTCGCTCCGCGCGTGGAGGGCGTAAGACTTAATTATTGCTCAGATTAAGGTCACGATGTATTTTAACATACAGAATCTAGAGATATTCACTAATATTTTACACATGCAGCGAGTATTGCATGGTTCTCATTGCTTCCTGGCTCTGTGTGTGCATGATTTTAACTGTAGATTTACCATATTGAAAACGTTAACCATCAGTATATATAGTGTGCATTTTAAGTTACTGAGCGTTTTAATATATTATGAGACTGAGAGACTACTAGTAAAAAAATTCATGAGTGTAGTGTATACGAGTGAGTCTTAGGCCCCAGACACGACACCGGATTCCCATCGTAGCGGCATCAACTTAAGACGCTTCGCAGTCTTTTCTTATATTATCATGCTGATTGCTGAACTCACCTTGAAACAGTCAAATTTGATGCCGATACGAATCGGGTATCGTGTATAAAACTGGGGCCTTATAAGTTTTAAAGTTATCAAATAAGTATATTAAAAGACTGGCAAATTATGTGGTTGTGCTAGGTTTCAAATGTCATCGCTTCCTAGCCTACGGTGTACGTAGACCCCAGCAGAAACACGTTTCGTGAGGGGTCTACGAATAAACGAAGAAAAGCTTGCCCGGCTACGTCATATCCGTTTTACGTTTTGGGTAAATTAACTTCAATTTATTCAAATTTCTGAAGCGTGCGTGAATGTAAATTTTCATTTGGCGCTTATTAAAGGCATTAAAATGTTCCATGGCGGGCTTTGTGCACTACAAATGTGTTCTTTACTTCAATGTCCCGTCGAATAAAAGCGATATTAATTTCTTGGACAGCAAGGACACTGTACGTAAGGACTAAGGAGTTAGATGACCTTTCCTTCTGCATTTCACCCGCCTGGCGTTGGTAAACAAACGGTGAAACGGAGAAGCTTCAAAGAACGGTTTAATATGTGAACTAGAGCCTAGACAATACGATAACCAACGTGCACGAAACAGCATTAAACGCTATTGATAAATGTCGTGAACCAACTAGGATTCTGACTATATATATATATATATATATATATATATATAGTCAGGGTATATTTTATTGCACAAAGACCGCCATGGAACATTTTAATATAAAGCTGGCGCTTTATATTAAAATGTTCCATGGCGGTCTTTGTGCAATAAAATATACCCTGACTATATATATATATAAATATATATTTTGAACTGAACATCCTCGTACCCAGGGTCTTTTTGGTCTTTTCGCAGCAGGTGCCCGTGCACCGAGTATAAGAGAAAATAGCCTGGGTACGAGGTTGCAGACTGAACAGTATATTATAAATGAGCTTATAAACAGATGTGATATGTGGGGAGGGAAGTATGCTGAGAGATTAATCCCAGGCGCGGATCCAGACGGTGGCAAAAGTGGCTCGAGCCACGGTCAGATTTTTCCCACCTAGAATTTTCCGGGGTTCACTTTTGTTGGATACTGCATTACGCGTTTTTAAGAAATATATATTAGTTATTTGAAATACAGCAAAATTGAGAAAATATAGGTCTGTAGCAAACAATTTGAATAATATCTTTCGTAATTGTTGCAAACCAATCACAGGGCAAGTTGTGGTCATGTGCGCCACGGTGCGCCACGGTGGCTCTATTTCGATTGCGCAATACAAATGATCAACAATAAAGTTCGATACTTGTCAACTTGACGGGCACCCGATGCACATGAAATCATCAGTATATATACTGACAAAATCATTAACAGCGTCAGTATGTATACTGCGTCACGGGATCCCCTCGAATACCCTCACACATACAACCGCAAAATATACTGTTTGCTTGTTCAGTCTCATGTAAATCTCTTTCATGCTTCTTTCTTTGTTGCTTCCTTGTTGTTTCAGTATTATTATATTCAGTTTGAAAAAATGCCAAAGAGAAAGAAAACCAAGGACTTTTTGGAGGATGTCGGTAGCTTTGAGTTCGATGAGTTAACTGTTAGTCGTACGGGGAGACTTGTAGAGGAAAACAAACGTGTAGAGCTTGATTTTTCAGGCTTTCGTGGATGTAGAAGCGAGGATGTTTCACCTGGAAGATCGAGCAACGCACATGGGACACTCGATCTTGAACAAGATCATTTGTGCGAAGATATTTTCGAAGACAGATCGGACGAAGAGGGGGAAACTAGCTTGTCGTCCCATAACAAGAGAAAGTTGAGGCTTCTTTCGTCATGGAGAGAGGGAAGAGAGTCCATGATTAACATACAGGAAGTCAATAAATATTCCACGTACTGCATTTTGCTGCCATTGTTTGTCTGGCAACCCAGAATTTCGATGTAAAGACTGTGGGCCTTACACTTTCTTTTGTTTGGACTGTTTGGTTGAAATTCACGGCACCAAAAACTATTTTCATTCACCAGAGAAATGGCAGGTATTGTAAAATGTACTGTAAATGCGGAATTTTGTGGTAGTTTCGCGACGCCATCTTGAAATTATTTATTGTTTTCACAGTTTCACTATATTGTGTTTGTCCCACTTGCAAATTTACCTATAGGGAATTTACTAGGAATTCCATTGTTTTTACTGTTGTGTACTTGTGTTTGCCCCACTCGCCAAGATGGTGTCGTGAACCCTAAAAATGGTGTATTATAATACTGTACTTGCAAAATACTATACAGTATATTAAATTAATAATGTAGGGTGCATTTGGGCACATTGCTGCTTAATGGGTTAATATATTAGTGATGCACCGAAATTGGTATCAGCTTATCAGTACTAAAATAGACATATTGGTAATCTTGTTGTTGACATTACCGATATTACAAACTGTTATTAAATGCTTGTGTGATGTTACTCTGAGTGTGTATCCACACCGGGCAGGCTTGAAAAATATCGGCCTGGCCACGGTGGGTATCGAACCTACGACCTTCAGAATACTAGCCCAATGCTCTGCCAACTGAGCTACGCAGTCAGGTCGGTTTGAGTATGTGATATTTCGGAACCGGAGTCTAGTTCCTTCGATATCAGTGTAATCTAATAATCATGATATTTGCTGTCTTGGAGTAATGTACTCAGGTGGATAAGATGCTTGTGTGATGTTACTCTGAGTGTATATCCACACCGGGCAGGCTTGAAGAATATGCCTGGCCACGGTGGGAATCGAACCTACAACCTTTGGAATACTAGCCCAATGCTATGCCAACTTATCAGTGTAATCTAGGAACTAGATATCGAATGAACTAGACTCCAGTTCCGAAATATCACTTACTTGAACCGACCTGACCACGTAGCTCAGTTGGCAGAGCATTGGGCTAGTATTTCAAAGGTTGTAGGTTTGATTCCCACCGTGGCCAGGCATATTTTTCAAACCTGCCCGGTGTGGATATACACTCAGAGTAACATTACACAAGCCTCTTATTCACCTGAGTACATTACTCCAACACAGCAAATATCCTGTTATTAAATATTAATGATTGGTTAAAGTGGTAGGTAATTATTATCAAAAACGTCAGATACAGGTAGTTGCATTGTACAAACAAGTTTACAGTTTTTGTTGCATGCCATATATGGCATGCAACTTTCATATAGCTCTAAATTTCGCAGGCGCGGATCCAGACCGTGGCAAAAGTGGCTCGAGCCACGGTCAGATTTTTCCCACCTAAGATTTTCCGGGGTTCACCTTTGTTGGATACTACATTAGACTCCTTACGCATTTTTAAGAAGTATATATTAGTTATTTGAAATACAGCAAAATTGAGCAAATATAGGTCTATAGCAAACAATTTGAATAATATCTTTCGTAATTGTTCTCATATTACAGTAATATATATGTGCTAAAAGCAGGAAAAACTTCCGAAATATATTCCTTGTTCAATAGTATAATTATCCAGTTAAACACTGAACTATAAAAACCGCCGAAAGCGTGCCGAATTCTGCCGAATATGTTCGGAAAACAGTCGTAAATTCGAAGCTGCGATCACAGCCACAAAATGCCACGGTCAGCGTGCAAAAAATTGCGCAATTGTTACTAAATATAGTAACTTTCTGCCACGGTGCAGCGTTGCAAACCAATCACAGGGCAAGTTGTGGTCATGTGCGCCACGGTCTGCCACGGTGGCTCTGTTTTGATTGCGCAATACAAATGATCAACAATAAAGTTCGATACTTGTCGACTTGACGGGATAAAGAATAATACATCACAAGCTACATGGATGCTATCAGGATGGAAGCTTTAAAAAAAAGTCGATGTTCTTAGCAAGCTCGTCGAAATCTTTCAACAAGCAAACCTAAGCGAACATATTTCAGGGGAATTATCGCTCTTGAGGCAACAATATGATGAATTTATCACTGAAGAAAGGCTGCGCCGTTGCATCTACTGGCGTCTGGCGACATCGTGCTGCCAACGTGCGAATTTTCAAAACTGCAGTTCTCCAAGAGCCAAACTGAAAGATCTGGGCCTAATGTTCCTGTTAGGTAAGAATTTTAATCGACTTATATTAAATTTGCATTTTATACGCTGGGGTCAGGGAATATAAATTTGTGCATGCAAATTTGTATGTATGTAAATTTTTGTTAGTGAAATAGTAATATGATCTCGAACACATGGCGGTTAATAAAATATAAATTGCATTTATCCGTTATGTAGTCGTGAAATATTAGTAAAAACTCTGTTTAAAACTGTTATCAGTATTTTGCTACAGTTTACGGCTACAACATTTGATTGTCGACTGTAAAATGAAATGTTTACTTCTGTATTGGGTCTATATAGTCGTCTATTTGGTTTCACCAAGCTTTAAATATAGCGCCTTAATATTTGTAGGTTGACCAGGGGTCGGTTGTTCTAAGCTAAGGCTAATCCTTGGTTAAAATTTAACCTAGTGTTTTTGTTTGCGTGTTTCTGCATGCCTGTTTACTTCGAAGCTTTGAAGAAAACTTTCATTCATCCAGACAAGATTTCTGAAGAAATATTTCTAAATTGCTTGTGTGATGTTACTCTGAGTGTATATATCCACACCGGGCAGGGTTGAAAAATATGCCTGGCCATGGTGGGATTGGAACCTACGACCTTTGGAATACTAGCCCAATGCTTTGCCAACTGAGCTATGCAGTCAGGTCGGTTTGAGTATGCAGTACTTTGGAACTGAGTCTACTGTAGTTCCTTCGATATCAGTGTAATCTAATAATCATGATATTTGCTGTGTTGGACTGTTGGTGTAATGTACTCAGGTGAATAAGATGCTTGTGTGATGTTACTTTGAGTGTATATCCACACCGGGCAGGCTTGAAAAATGTGCCTGGCCAGCCACAGTGGGATTCGAACCTACAACCTTTGGAATACTAGCCCAATGATCTGCCAAGGAATACTAGCCCAATGCTCTCCCAATGCCTTTGCCAAAGGTCATAGGTTCGAATCCCACCGTGGCCAGGCATATTTTTCAAGCCTGCCCGGTGTGGATATACACTCAGAGTAACATCACACAATATGGATTCTTGCACTTCACTTGGTGGAATTAATATTAGAATGTTAGGGATTTGTAATCCAAGTGAGAATATATACATTTTAAGACCTAACCAGGAACGACTGCGAAAAATGCAGCACAAGGTCCTCTGGCAGGAATCGCAGGGCCGTAGGTTCATTTCCTACCAGAGGACCTTGTGCTGCATTTTGCGCAGTCGTTCCTGGTTAGGTCTTAAAATGTATATATTCTCACTTGGATTACTAACCCTAACATTCTAATAACATCACACAAGCATCTTATTCACCAGAGTACATTACACCAACACAGCAAATATTTTTAACAACTGGCCCCTGGAGGGTGACTACCTCACAGGTGTTTGTTGTGGATGAATATTGATGTTTTTGTGGATGATGTCATCCTGATCCTAATCCTGACATTAAAACCTAATCCCGAATCTAAAACTGCAACAAAATCCCATGAGTTAGTCAAGGCCAGCTGTGAATTTGATGTCATCATGATGTTACTCAAATTACACAAAGACATTGTAGTATGGCTCAATTTCCATATTAATGATTCCAAAATTTAATCTCCAGTCCTTACCTTAAAACCAACTCTAGTTCTATTGGTTACCCTGACTAATTCTAGTAATTATCCTTTTGGCACAAAGTTATATGGAACGAGACCCATGATTATACAAGCAAAAGGAGGGAAAACATTTGGGAAAACAAATGGTTCCTTGCTATTTCTCAAATGGCAAGGTATAACATTACATTTGTTCTCCAGATAATTTGAGCGAAGTTTGCAAAGTATAATCACATAATTACTGTGTGGTGCAAAGAAGTTGACATTCTGGTTAAAAGTTTCAATAGAATATTTACAAAATAATATAAAATAACCATTGATACTTAAATGCTTAAATTCTTTCAGTACTTCATTGTCTCTTTAATGCATGTTCTATTGCGTTAGTCGGGAATGAGAGTTTGTCTGCTCACTTGAGATGCCTCACCAGTATTGAACTGTTTGAGAATGCCAAATACTATACTAACCATCCCCTCATTGAGTCCCAGCATAAAAACGTAATAGCGTTCACTACACTTAAAAATGCCTCTGCCATGTGTGTATCTGATGCAGCTCTTACTTTTTTCGACATTTGTAATGAAATGCAGCAGTTTTAGAAGAAGCAAAGGAAACTGCAAAAAATTACACATTCTCATCCATGGTGTGCATGTTTGCCTTGCCCACAGTAATTCAGTGTGCCATTCAGTCATTCTACCCACTCACCAATGATACTGTAGCGAAAGAAAATTGGGATTCCTTGGATTCAATTGTACAATACAGTATATCTACGGGATTATCTTGATGGCAGTGCAATTGAATATGTCCATATCTTTCATTGTGCTGCGATGCCACCGTCTTATTTGGTTGATCGAAGAATTCTATGTACCAAAAATCATTTTGTTTCCTTGTGCAAACCAGTTAAAGCACTTCAGCCACGAGACCATTATTTTAAAGCACACCTTCCAACCTTATTGAAGTCTGCGATGCCAGTTCATCCTAAAGTTCCTCCTACAGTTTCTCCTAAAGTTTCTACTAAAGTTTTTTCTGCTCCTTCCTCTACACAAGTGACTACATTTACTAAAAAGCAGACGACTGGTCCAAAAAGAAAACAAATTAGCTTAGATCGGTGCGCTTCTTGTGAAACGAGCGTGCAACACACAAGAAACTGTAGACAGTGAAATCAAATTTCCCAGCACTAGTAAAGGAATTTCATCTGTAACTCCCAACACTGGTCCTATTTCAGAAAAATCTAACACCAAAACACAACGAACTTCCACCAATTCGTGGCCAGATGATATCTACAACTACGTAAATCTGGTGTCCAGTCTTCCTGATTCGAAAAAGTACGAAATTCTGTGCAATTATTGCCATTGGAAACTTGGTTCTGATTTTTCTTTTCCTCCACGCGAAAATATTGGTAGACGTTTCCGGTTGGCATGGTTATCACGATTTCCATGGTTGGCTTACTCTGCTGTGGCAAACGGTGGTTTTTGCGTCACTTGTGTTCTTTTTGGCAGTGAAAGCACGCATAATGCAAGCGAGCTCTAACTATTGATGACCAGTGCTCTTCCTCCAAGTGCTTCTGCTTTCCAGAAACTATGTCAGCATGGTGAAAAATCCAATGTTCACGCAACGGCAACTTTCCGTGCTACACAGTTTAAGCGAATGATCGAGAATAAGACACTTGGTATCGATGCATGTGCAGCTGAAAAAACCCACCCCGTAAAAGACCTGCGTTGCAACTAAAACGCCAAGATGATTGAGTTCGATGTACAGCCCTAATTGGATATTTTTTGCTACGAAGAACCTGAAATACACAGGAACAGTACATGCGGTACAGAGTTGTGGTTTTATGTAAGTACATTGATTTTGTAACATTCTAATGTTGTAACGTTGAAGAACATGGTATGTTGTTTAAATATTTGACTTATTTAGTGCGTTTCGTTATTTGCTCTCTAAAATATGGCGTAATTAATGACGAATTATATGATAGAATTCGATGCTCAGAACGCAGGAAATGGCATTTCCGGGGTTCAAATTTCAAAAATTTTCCGGGGGGGAATGCCCCCGGACCCCCCTAATTATTGACGGTTTTGGAGTGCGCCACGGTCACGGTTTAGGCTGGATCCGCGCCTGAAACTTGTATTCTCTGCCAGAAGAGGTAAGATCGTTGTCGAGACTCTCCAAGCGCTTACGGTAATACAACAATTTATTGTGGATGTATTCGGGATTGGATCTTTTCCATCGAACTATTTTGAATTTTTTTTCTGTTTCAAGGAGTGCTTTATCCAATCTAAATGGAATGAGGGAGTGGAAATTGTTCAAATACATTTCTTAGATCTAACCAGGAGTAACTGCGGAAAATGCAACTATATACAGGTCCCGGGCAGGAATCGAACCTGCGCGCGGCCTTGCGATTGGTGCAGCGCTCTAACAAACTGAGCAACAGAGTCCAGCTCATGCTGAGTTCTACCCACAAGTTCTTGTGTGTATATATGTTAACTCAGTGCCACGTTAAGCTATGTGAAGAGCAATATAAGTTTAGTTTTGTGGAAACACCACGTAAATTTATTATTAGAGAGGTTAAGATACCCCGGTTCCGGTTTACGGGTAATATACACGTACCCGCACCCGTAAATCGGGGAATAACGTGTAACTTAAGAAATGCAAGATACTCTGGCGTAAAAAAAAAACGATCAGAAAATGGCAACTTTCGCTGTTGAGGTTCGCCATAAAGTGTTGAAAACTTTGACGAGCATATGTGCATTATTTATTTGGGTAAGATCGTGAACATTTTTACTATTTAAACGGCCCACAAATAGTAAACAGAAAACACCCGTACCCGTTTGTCTTTTACGTGTAGACCATGGTTTAACGCGGGAAAACGGGTAAAAATGCTGACATCAACAAAAGTTGGCAAACAAAATGGCGATACTCGTACCCGTAAACCGGGGTATCTTAACCTCTCTATTGCAAAGCTTTCGATATGTAAGATCGGATCTTCATCAGTGCTAATAATCTGCATCTTCAAAAAACATGTACATCAAGTACATGCATGCACGCAGAAACTAATATTTAATCAGATTATTAGCAATGATGAAGATCCGAGCTTACGGATCGAAAGCTTTACAACAGAGACGTTAAGATACCCCGGTTTCGGTGTGCGGGTACGAGTAGCGTCATCTTGTTTTACTGATGTCTGTATAATTCCATCATACTTTTTCTGTTTTCTTGCAATAGACAACGATATAATGCGAAAAATATGCACCTTAATTACGAGTAAAGGTACAGATATCGACGAAAATATTGCTAACCAAAATCATACTACCCGTACACGCACACCGAAACCGGGGTATCTTAACCTCTCTATTAACAAATTTACGTGGTGTTTACACAAAACTAAACTTATAAAGCAATGCAGGCTTCAATAGACCTTACCAATTGCCAACTCATTTTGCGTACTGTGTTATCGTGAATATAAATACCACTTACTTATTACACGTTTCCTCTGCGACACTATAATCTCCTGATCCTTGCAAAACGCTTTCATCTCTACAAAGAATACAATTCAGATTTAAATAGTTGAAAACATGGTGTCGGTTAAGTGCATTTTCGTCAGATACTGTAGTTGTATATAAACAAACCTCAAACAGTAATATCGTTGAAGCTTTACAAAATACTTTTCCTTCCACTCCTCCAATGGCCCTACCAGCTGACCTATATATATGCAATACAAAAAGTTGCACATTCACCACCAATTACAGTATGAGTAACAACAAGTTTACTCCAGGTATACACATACAGTATGTGTTCGGGTATTATTTTTAATCTAATAACTATACCTTCGTTTACAGTGTTTTTATGAGAGAAATACTCCTTTTCATCATTCAGCCACGTATCGATTTGTGCTATGTCAAAACCTGAACATCATATAGTAAAAATTAAAACAGATTCTACTAGATAATGTATGCATGAGCAACCGAGAGGAATTCATTAGCGTTACAATGACGGCAATAGAAGCGTTCCGAAAAATGTTGATCAGTTCATTTCCTAACTTTTATTTACCATGCAGTTCATTTGACGAGTTCATCAAGTTGTTAATATAACGTTTGTTGACAAATTGCCTCGACGTTTGTTGACGATTTATTCGACAAAGTCGATCTACACTCAACGTCCTGCGTTCAAGGATTGAGCAATTTAAAGCAAATACCAGGAAGTTGTCGACATTTTGAGGAACTCATGTAAATGTTCTAGGAACTCGCGATGTCGAGGATATATCGCGCATGTAAATTTAAATTGGGAAATATTTTATGTAGTTTTCATAATCCGACCAATGCAAAAGATTGCTGAAGTTGGTTGGTAAACGGTTCTACATTCTGCTATAGGTTACTATGCATACAAAACACCACCATACATTGAGCTCCCAGATACAAGACACTGGATTCGCTTGTCCCTGCACCCCCTGCGAAATCCACCCCTGAAATTGCGAAAATATGACAAAACAAAAGAAAAACTGTCATGAAAATTGTCAAAGGGGCAAATTTTGTGGGCAGACATTAGTCCTGAACAGTATACTGTATGTCAATGTCGTGACAAGTGAATCCGGTATCCTCACTGTAAGCATGAAAATTTCTGCGTTTTGGACTAAATAGGCTCTAAATATCTACCTGGAATAGAATTCACCATTTCATTAAACGTCTCTATTGCTGTTTTTTGCAGTTCCATTGCTCGCACCATCCGGCGTTTTAACCTCTCTCCAAGTTTGGACTTACTTTGTCGACCGTAATGCAGCAAGCAATCGGTTAATGCATCAATTCGCCTAGAGGGAGACATCTCCTTAGTAATTGATGCAAAACCTCTCAGGTACGACCACAAACGCTCCATCACTTCACCATCAGTGAGGCCACATCCTTCCACCCGTCTAGGACTATACATAATCTACATGAACATAAAGAATACTTAGTTGGTACTGTGCTTGGTCGGTTGTTTTTTTAATTGCTTGGTTGGTTGGAAGGAGGGCGAAAATTTACCTGACATTGAGCTTTATGACCGTACACGTGAAATATCGGGATAGCCAAATTGATATGGGCCAAAATGTCTGAGAATTCCGCTGAATTCTAAACAAAAGTAATAATCTAGAATTATTAAAAGTAAATAATTTTAAGTAAATCTTGCTGTACGATAAAAAAGAAATTGTTCTGTATGACAAAAATAATGCGAGAGTACTTCTGCCATGATGTATTTACCTGCAAATGACGGTGAAGTATACAAGAAATATCATACAAAACATTGTAGCTCATATTTTTCTCCTTCGCTTTCGACACCATATCGTTGATAAGCCAAACAGCGTATGAAATTCTAAATACAAGAAACACTGCGTGAACCTATGGCTATGAACTAATGAACCTTTAAACCTAATGAACCTTTTTTCACGTACATTCACAAACTACACGGTATTTTGCAGATTCTTCTTGCAATATAAACATTTGTCATGAATGCACCAGGATTTTGGCATCTCACTAAATGTGAAAGAGTTTTTGTAGATGAAAATTCTTACTTCTTAAGACTCAACCAGGAGTACTTGCAATAAATATAACTATATTCCCTCAATAGGCGAAATTGAAACTGCGATCCAACGATTTCGAGGCAGTGCTCTGCGGACCGACTATCAAATTTATAATCGAAATTTCTTCTACAAAAACTCTTAAAAAACTTGTATACACAGTATATACAACTAGATACGATGTAACCTAAATACAAAGTACTTTGGTAACTGATATTGCGTATCCTGAAAGAAACAGTTCACCATGACTGAGTAAATTGTACTGTACTTCACATACCTTTCACCATGTTTTAAATTTACAAAAGCTTTTGGAAATTCGTGTCTGCATGCTCTACCGAATATCCCTGTCTCGTCTAGCCCTGCAAATCTCTGGTTAGATCTCAACGCATTGCCGGCCAAGAAATTGTTGCAGTCCTACAACGTAGGTAAAAATAATATGTTTTAAACGTCAAACGAATCTCTCCATGTACAACTTATCACATACACTCTACCGTACATAATTTTATATGTTAGTGAAATGAAATGTAAAATCACTCTGGAATATTAAAGTAAGAATATGAAAGCAGTACATACACTATCAGAACCCTTATCTTGATAATTGTTGACAAAATTATCTACAACTTGCTGATCAGCAAAGAGAAGACCAGATCGTACAGGCTCCAATACACTAACACCAGATGACTTCTTCCTTGGTAGTCCAAAAAGAGCATCAAACGATTCATATAAAACACCATTTTCCTTTAAAATAATTAATACTAATTAACTCACTGAGAGGCAGCACTCTCCCCTTGACAAGTAAAATCGTCTGGTGCCAGGCAGAGTAAATAATAAAGTAGGGTACAGCTGGGCGCCAAAATGAAGTTTTAATCAATTATAATATTATCTTTGAAGGGGATAATGATTTAGTCCTGTTTTACATAAATTTTAGCTTCAATATTCTTGTTTCAAATGAATTGTATCACCAAAATGGTTTATAAAACATTTGAATCTGGTCTGTATCTGATTTATCATGGCTCACCTTGCACATCAGATACAGTACAAACTGACTGATGTTTATTGCTGGAATATACAGTTGCATGGCTAATTTCCATCACTTAAACATACCTTAGGACATGCGGGACAAATGTTTTCTCCATCACGTTCAGGGCATATATCTTTTAGTGCACGCAAGTCAAACCTAAAATGCCTAAATATTAAATTTAATCAGAATATTTAATCATAATTATAAGATCTTTTTAATGAGTAAAACTGCCAGGTTTTAGCAACTAATTTATTATTTTACCTAAACTCTTCAAATGCATCAAGCATGTTCCTATATATTTCAATCGGTCTGTGTGCAATCTAACAAAAAATGTAAAAATATATGTTACGCTAAAGGGAAATTAGTACAATTAACAATATAAAAATTTTCCGTGCAGTTACTGTATATCAACACGAGTGGAAATTGGGAAATCGAGAAATTGTGTGGGAACACGACACCTGAAGGGCGGAGTGTTTCACACATTTTCGAGAAAGAAATTTTCTGACGTTTCCGCATTGATATTGAGTTATATCAACACGGCTCTCAGCCAATCAGCGTTAAGAATTTACAAATGCTATATTATAATTATGAATATACAATAGTCAACCATTTTTTACACAGAGACTGGTGGAAATTATACATGTTGTGGACCCTACAGCTGTAAAGAAAGGTTCAATAGGGGTACAATTTACAAATCAATAAATCTTTGCAGGTTTGCATGATAACAAATTTAATTTATGGTTACATGTATGTTTCGTATATATACTGTGACACCTTGATTCTTTATTTAGACATGCAAAAAGTGTTTAACAGAAAATAAAGAAAATCGAAGGCTCATGGACTGAAAACTAAAATAACAAAATAATATATTACATAATATATAATTACAGCTAAATCATAACAACATACCTGTTTAATATAAATACATTAAATGTAATGTAAATTAATGTTATTATTATTTTATGTTTATTGAAACTCTCTTGCAGTATATTAGAATAATAATATATAATTAATGTATAATTTTTCGGGGGCTGAAAAAGTACCGGAAGAACCGAATTTTTTTGGTTAACCGCACAGCTCTACAGTATATTTACACTGAATTAACGAGTCCAAAGTATTACTAGATGTACCGGTAACAACATATCTGTTTATATAAATACATTACATTCATCACTTGTTCCAAGTGTTCTTCTCCATTATAATTTATTACCACTTCAGGTCTCTAGAAGTTTAAAAATTCCAACACCAAAAAATTATAAATTCATGGCTTAATTAATATTACTTTGACTAAGCACATATTGGGACTAACACCCTGTTTTCTCTTTGAGCTATATTGCTATTTTATTGCTTGTACAGTAAGTATTATATGGCAAAGAGACAATTACCTACCCAATCAGAACTATTGAGTATTGTCAATACATTGCACGAGAGCACTTTACATGACAGTGGTGTAACTTAACTTTTTTGACCACCTGCCATCAGGGCAAGTTGGACATTAAAATCGGTTGCCCTGAATGAAATCCACTTGCCTTCAAATCTAGCCCACATAGTAATTTGATGCAAAATTTGCAGTAACAATGGAATGCTACTACATTCACAATATACCAATAGAATCGTGGGTGCACAAGTAAAAAACACAAATGGAAAACGAAAACAGTTTTTACTCGATAAATGAGAATATACTTAAAGTTGGCCAGCTTATTCTTGCAAAACAACTTGCGGGATCTGGTATTTGGGCAACCAAGGAGATACTTCTACATACCTGCCTGTTATGATTTTCACTTGCCTGGGCAAGCGCTAAGTTACACCACTTCACGAGAATTATTGTGATCATTATATTTATTACATGATTATATACTTACAGGAAATTTTGAAAATCCTGGAAGGGATGCACAACATTGCTGAACTGACACCTTGGCAACAAGAAACATTTTTTCCACCAATTCCATTAACCCAAATGTAAAGGCCATTACTGGTTTGGTAGGGGTAGCAGGCCAAAGACCTAGTTCAACTAAAGTACATGCTTCACTTTTGCATCTACAAAACATCACTGGGTATTCATGTTGAAATCCTATAATAAACAAAAAACATTTATTTACTCCAAGAGGAAGTACTATTTACAATCCTCCACATTACTTTACACAACAACACTTGCTATATAAATGGGCAAACCAATAATTGAAAAAAGATGTCCTTTGAGACTCTAATGTGAAAAGCACAATGGGGACCATCCCCATCATGATATCTCTACCAACCGTAAATACCAACCTAAAATCATCGTGTTTTGTGATTGGCTTCATGAGACAATTGTGATCAGTGTTTATGACTCGTTCTTTAGAAAGCTAATTTCTATAGTTCATTGTTTTTTATTGTTATGATCAACCAGTCACAAAGCCTGTTCATATAGGTTGGTGGCAACCCTGATATCTGCATGCAACTTTTTCAAATTCAACTCCCTGCGATTGAGTATGATATCTGTACTGTCAATGCAAAACATAGTGATCTGAGTGCAACTAACCTTTCTCATCAGTGATCAAAACAGGTTTTAAATATTCCAGCTCAGGAAACTCACAATGATGGAGTGGGTTCTTCAGCTTAGGTGTTTTCAATTTTACATCCACAAACATATTGTCCTATCAGAAACAACATGTTTCATTAAAAACAATCTATTCTGACATCAGTACATGATGTACTTCACATCATTGAATTAAAAATAGGTACGCAGTGCGTACATGTTGCATGCCATCTGAAACTTAGCGCTATAGTGCTTATAACATTTGGTACAACTGGCGTGAAACTTAAAATATTGATTTGATATCAATATATTTATTGAAAAATAGCTATTACAGTAAAACCCCACATAAAAGAACCAGTGAATTTTGACTTCAGGCTGAAGTTCTTGTATAATCTTATTTCACACTACACTTTTTTCTATTCTGCACAGTTAATAGTCTTAAGAGGGACTTTTGTTGCATAAAACTAATGCTACGACACTAATATGGTTCTCGTTACATATATCTATACTTAAACAACTTCTAAAAACCTGTATTTTGGATGCTTAATTGCCCAAATGTCAGGCTGGTGGTTCTTAACCCACTGGTTCTTTTACGTGGGTTTTACTGTATGTCAAAATAAGAAAACTTAAAGTGGAAGTCAAGTCCGTAATGTAAACAAACGGTTTGTTTACATTTTGAACTGCTGTATTTTTTAAAATACGATGTACTGTCTGAATATCTAACACCATTTTGGTTCGCTATGCTTCTAAATGAATATGAAATAGAGTTTATGTTCAGAAAAATTCGAAACATTCGAAATTCGGGCAATATTTACATTAGAGGGCCCTCACATTGTTATGAGCAGAACCGATGCGCAGAACGGACTAGACTTCCACTTTAAGATTCTCACGCCAATTAGCCTACGATGTAGACCCCAGCAGAAACACGCGAATAGGCAATTTTTTACATAAAGCGACCGTTAATAGTTACTTGCAAGCAACGGTAATAATATTAACAAGGTAAAGGTGGGTCAAGGTTTTATCGAAAGCGATTGACTGTTAGATTTCCTTTACAAATGTATAACTAAATAACGTTATTTCCTTTTGATTTAGCTTAAAAATTTATTGTAACTTTTTAAAGGTATAAAAAACCCGTAGAAACGGTGAATTACTATAATATTGAAAATAATTACTTATCATTTTGACGTTTGAGTGATTGAAATGAGTTAATTACTTAATTTACACTATATCGAATGTCATGCTGAATGTCATGTTGAATCTTATTCGTACTTCACAATGGTTGCTATTTCGCTGTATTAAATTTCAATAGCATTAGTAGTGCATTTACTATTTATAATTTAAATTTTGTTTGATATTTACATTTCATGTTATTTACAAAGTGTGCTGTAGTTTTGAAGCTTTGCACACAATATAATCAGTGCAAGCACAATGGCTCCGTTTCAGTTTGAGTATATAAGAATCGAGTTCTTCGATAGCGTTGGGCTTTGAGTGTGCTTTGAGGCTTTCACGATAAAGTATAAACGCCTGATAATTGATAAATAATCAGTGCGAGCACAACGGCTCCAAAATCACAACAAATAACAGAATATAAGGTAAGTTAAAAACATTAAAGCTTTACCTACCTCGATTTATTCTTCTAAGGCGCTCAATTATGTAAATTTTCGGCGAATAATCAATATTTCTTTGTGTTTCCTCGACGAAAACCCAGCATGAAAATGCTCGACGGAAAAACTCGGTGTTTGTCGTATTTTACGAATATGCCACGTGACCGGTACGCTCACCGCACACGACACGAAACAGGCGCGGATCCAGCCTAAACCGTGACCGTGGCGCACTCCAAAACCGTCAATAATTAGGGGGGTCCGGGGGCATTCCCCCCCGGAAAATTTTTGAAATTTGAACCCCGGAAATGCCATTTCCTGAGTTCTGAGCATCGAATTCTATCATATAATTCGTCATTAATTACGCCATATTTTAGAGAGCAAATAACGAAACGCACTAAATAAGTCAAATATTTAAACAACATACCATGTTCTTCAACGTTACAACATTAGAATGTTACAAAATCAATGTACTTACATAAAACCACAACTCTGTACCGCATGTACTGTTCCTGTGTATTTCAGGTTCTTCGTAGCAAAAAATATCCAATTAGGGCTGTACATCGAACTCAATCATCTTGGCGTTTTAGTTGCAACGCAGGTCTTTTACGGGGTGGGTTTTTTCAGCTGCACATGCATCGATACCAAGTGTCTTATTCTCGATCATTCGCTTAAACTGTGTAGCACGGAAAGTTGCCGTTGCGTGAACATTGGATTTTTCACCATGCTGACATAGTTTCTGGAAAGCAGAAGCACTTGGAGGAAGAGCACTGGTCATCAATAGTTGGAGCTCGCTTGCATTATGCGTGCTTTCACTGCCAAAAAGAACACAAGTGACGCAAAAACCACCGTTTGCCACAGCAGAGTAAGCCAACCATGGAAATCGTGATAACCATGCCAACCGGAAACGTCTACCAATATTTTCGCGTGGAGGAAAAGAAAAATCAGAACCAAGTTTCCAATGGCAATGATTGCACAGAATTTCGTACTTTTTCGAATCAGGAAGACTGGACACCAGATTTACGTAGTTGTAGATATCATCTGGCCACGAATTGGTGGAAGTTCGTTGTGTTTTGGTGTTAGATTTTTCTGAAGTAGGACCAGTGTTGGGAGTTACAGATGAAATTCCTTTACTAGTGCTGGGAAATTTGATTTCAGTGTCTACAGTTTCTTGTGTGTTGCACGCTCGTTTCACAAGAAGCGCGTCGATCTAAGCTAATTTGTTTTCTTTTTGGACCAGTCGTCTGCTTTTTAGTAAATGTAGTCACTTGTGTAGAGGAAGGAGCAGAAAAAACTTTAGTAGAAACTTTAGGAGAAACTGTAGGAGGAACTTTAGGATGAACTGGCATCGCAGACTTCAATAAGGTTGGAAGGTGTGCTTTAAAATAATGGTCTCGTGGCTGAAGTGCTTGAAGTGGTTTGCACAAGGAAACAAAATGATTTTTGGTACATAGAATTCTTCGATCAACCAAATAAGACGGTGGCATCGCAGCACAATGAAAGATATGGACATATTCAATTGCACTGCCATCAAGATAATCCCGTAGATACACTGTATTGTACAATTGAATCCAAGGAATCCCAATTTTCTTTCGCTACAGTATCATTGGTGAGTGGGTAGAATGACTGAATGGCACACTGAATTACTGTGGGCAAGGCAAACATGCACACCATGGATGAGAATGTGTAATTTTTTGCAGTTTCCTTTGCTTCTTCTAAAACTGCTGCATTTCATTACAAATGTCGAAAAAAGTAAGAGCTGCATCAGATACACACATGGCAGAGGCATTTTTAAGTGTAGTGAACGCTATTACGTTTTTATGCTGGGACTCAATGAGGGGATGGTTAGTATAGTATTTGGCATTCTCAAACAGTTCAATACTGGTGAGGCATCTCAAGTGAGCAGACAAACTCTCATTCCCGACTAACGCAATAGAACATGCATTAAAGAGACAATGAAGTACTGAAAGAATTTAAGCATTTAAGTAACAATGGTTATTTTATATTATTTTGTAAATATTCTATTGAAACTTTTAACCAGAATGTCAACTTCTTTGCACCACACAGTAATTATGTGATTATACTTTGCAAACTTCGCTCAAATTATCTGGAGAACAAATGTAATGTTATACCTTGCCATTTGAGAAATAGCAAGGAACCATTTGTTTTCCCAAATGTTTTCCCTCCTTTTGCTTGTATAATCATGGGTCTCGTTCCATATAACTTTGTGCCAAAAGGATAATTACTAGAATTAGTCAGGGTAACCAATAGAACTAAAGTTGGTTTTAAGGTAAGGACTGGAGATTAAATTTTGGAATCATTAATATGGAAATTGAGCCATACTACAATGTCTTTGTGTAATTTGAGTAACATCATGATGACATCAAATTCACAGCTGGCCTTGACTAACTCATGGGATTTTGTTGCAGTTTTAGATTCGGGATTAGGTTTTAATGTCAGGATTAGGATCAGGATGACATCATCCACAAAAACATCAATATTCATCCACAACAAACACCTGTGAGGTAGTCACCCTCCAGGGGCCAGTTGTTAAAAATATTTGCTGTGTTGGTGTAATGTACTCTGGTGAATAAGATGCTTGTGTGATGTTATTAGAATGTTAGGGTTAGTAATCCAAGTGAGAATATATACATTTTAAGACCTAACCAGAAACTGCAAAAAAATGCAGCACAAGGTCCTCTGGTAGGAAATGAACCTACGGCCCTGCGATTCCTATCAGAGGACCTTGTGCTGCATTTTCCGCAGTCGCTCCTGGTTAGGTCTTAAAATGTATGTATTTTCACTTGGATTACTAACCCTAACATTCTAATATTAATTCCACCAAGTGAAGTGCATGAATCCAAATTGTGTCATGTTACTCTGAGTGTATATCCACACCGGGCAGGCTTGAAAAATATGCCTGGCCACGGTGGGATTCGAACCTATGACCTTTGGCAAAGGCATTGGGAGAGCATTGGGCTAGTATTCCTTGGCAGACCTTTGGCAAAGGCATTGGGAGGGCATTGGGCTAGTATTCCTTGGCAGATCATTGGGCTAGTATTCCAAAGGTTGTAGGTTCGAATCCCACTGTGGCCAGGCATACTTTTCAAGCCTGCCCGGTGTGGATATACACTCAGAGTAACATCACACAAGCATCTTATTCACCTGAGTACATTACACCAACAGTCCAACACAGCAAATATCATGATTATTAGATTACACTGATATCGAAGGAACTACAGTAGACTCAGTTCCAAAGTATTGCATACTCAAACCGACCTGACTGCATAGCTCAGTTGGCAAAGCATTGGGCTAGTATTCCAAAGGTCGTAGGTTCCAATCCCACCATGGCCAGGCATATTTTTCAACCCTGCCCGGTGTGGATATATACACTCAGAGTAACATCACACAAGCAATTTAAAAATATTTCTTCAGAAATCTTGTCTGGATGAATGAAAGTTTTCTTCAAAGCTTCGAAGTAAACAGGCATGCAGAAACACACAAACAAAAACACTAGGTTAAATTTTAACCAAGGATTAGCCTTAGCTTAGAACAACCGACCCCTGGTCAACCTACAAATATTAAGGCGCTATATTTAAAGCTTGGTGAAACCAAATAGACGACTATATAGACCCAATACAGAAGTAAACATTTCATTTTACAGTCGACAATCAAATGTTGTAGCCGTAAACTGTAGCAAAATACTGATAACAGTTTTAAACAGTTTTTACTAATATTTCACGACTACATAGCGGATAAATGCAATTTATATTTTATTAACCGCCATGTGTTCGAGATCATATTACTATTTCACTAACAAAAATTTACATACATACAAATTTGCATGCACAAATTTATATTCCCTGACCCCAGCGTAAATGCAAATTTAATATAAGTCGATTAAAAATTCTTACCTAACAGGAACATTAGGCCCAGATCTTTCAGTTTGGCTCTTGGAGAACTGCAGTTTTGAAAATTCGCACGTTGGCAGCACGATGTCGCCAGTAGATGCAACGGCGCAGCCTTTCTTCAGTGATAAATTCATCATATTGTTGCCTCAAGAGCGATAATTCCCCTGAAATATGTTCGCTTAGGTTTGCTTGTTGAAAGATTTCGACGAGCTTGCTAAGAACATCGACTTTTTTTTAAAGCTTCCATCCTGATAGCATCCATGTAGCTTGTGATGTATTATTCTTTATCCCGTCAAGTCGACAAGTATCGAACTTTATTGTTGATCATTTGTATTGCGCAATCAAAACAGAGCCACCGTGGCAGACCGTGGCGCACATGACCACAACTTGCCCTGTGAGTGGTTTGCAACGCTGCACCGTGGCAGAAAGTTACTATATTTAGTAACAATAGACCTTTCCCCTTATAACCAAAATTTTGATCTAGGCAAGTCTAGACAAATATTTCATCACAGCTTGAAAGAGCGTCACAAAATTAGTAATATTCCAAAGTTTCGTTGCGAAATGTTGTAAAATGCGGATAATATAGCCTTGCGAAATTTGCTATTTTCAGTCATTTTAGATTACAAACGGGAAATTGCAGCCCCAACACCCGAATCGTATGTCAATTTCCCGTTTGTAATACAAAATGACTGAAAAACGGCAAACTTCGCAAGGCTATATTATCTGCATTTTGCAAGATTTTGCAACAAAACTTTGGAATATTACTAATTTTGTGATGCTCTTTCAAGCTGTGATGAAATTTTTGTCTAGATCAAAATTTTAGTTATAAGGGGAAAGGTCCATTGCGCAATTTTTTGCACGCTGACCGTGGCATTTTGTGGCTGTGATCGCAGCTTCGAATTTACGACTGTTTTCCGAACATATTCGGCAGAATTCGGCACGCTTTCGGCGGTTTTTATAGTTCAGTGTTTAACTGGATAATTATACTATTGAACAAGGAATATATTTCGGAAGTTTTTCCTGCTTTTAGCACATATATATTACTGTAATATGAGAACAATTACGAAAGATATTATTCAAATTGTTTGCTATAGACCTATATTTGCTCAATTTTGCTGTATTTCAAATAACTAATATATACTTCTTAAAAATGCGTAAGGAGTCTAATGTAGTATCCAACAAAGGTGAACCCCGGAAAATCTTAGGTGGGAAAAATCTGACCGTGGCTCGAGCCACTTTTGCCACGGTCTGGATCCGCGCCTGGCAAATAAGTGTCTTTATATCTTACGATCATTGCGAAAGGAAGGTTATTCACAACAAGAGATAGATCTATTGTTTGATACTCTGGTATTACCAAACATAACATACGCATTATCTGTTTATGCCGCTTCCAAATCCGATTTAACTCCTATTGAAGTCTTTCTTAAACGTTGCTATAAAAGGAAATATACGTCAAAGCTAGTTAGTGTGTATAAGCTTTTAGAAAAACAAGATCGAACCATATTTAATAGAGTATCTAAACTCTGGCAGCATCCATTATTGTCACTAATGCCACACGCTAAAGAAACAGGCTACAACTTAAGAAAAAGAAGAAGTCATAGGCCGAAAGTTAGAACGGAACGTTTTAAAAACGTGTTTGTAAACCGTTTGGTATACAATTATGACTTAGTTATTGATTAAACATTGCAAGTTATCTCTATAGCAAGACACACAGTATGAACGAATGAGTAATGTATATAGTATGAACTACAATATGATTAAACATTGTAAGTTTCTTTTTAGCAAAGTGTAAATAATGCATATACTGTAATATGAATTGTAACTTAAGATATGTATTTTTATCTTCTGTTTCATTAAAGACTAATAATAATAATAATAATAATAATCAAATATTCATGTATAAAACTTTTTGAGCAAATTGAACAAGATTCAAGTCATAAATTAAATAATCTCTTACCTAGTTTAAATACGTCTTTTGACAGCCTTCGAACCGTAAGAAAGTATAAACTTCTTTTAATCAAAACAGACCGTTTTAAAAATTCTTTTATACCTAGTCAAGTAGCGAAAGTGACGTTATAGCTTTTAGCGAAGTAATAGTTTAAGCAACAATGAATTGTAAATAATTTTATATCAATTGTAAATCATTTGTAATTCAGCCATTTTTTGGCTTCGTGAATTGGAAAGCGACGTTGTAGTTTTTAGCGCAGTAATATATTAAGCAACAATGAACTGTAAATAATGAACTTAGTATCTTATTTCATATTATTTGTAAATCATTTGTAATTCAGCCTTTTTTTGGCTGCGATATTTGATTTATTAAACTATCTATCTATCTATCTATCTATCCATCTATCCATCTATCCATCTATCCATCTATCCATCTATCCATCTATCCATCTATCCATCTATCTATCTATCTATCTATCTATCTATCTATCTATCTATCTATCTATCTATCTATCTATCTATCTATCTATCTATCTATCTAAGCTCTCATCTGACTCAGGAGAAATCTTAACCGAGTCATTTGACATTGCAAATTCGCTTAATAAACATTTCGTTGGAATTGGTCCGAAATTGGCCTCCAATGTTCCCCTTTTAGGCAAGGTAGCAACAGCTAAGGATTACATGACCCAGGTTGAATCATCATTTGAATTTCAAAAGATAGATTCTAAAGACGTCTTTAAATTAATAAACAAATTAAATTTGCGTAAAGCTTCGGGCTGTGATAAAATATCAAATAGATTATTAAAAATATCTGGTCCTTATATTTATGAAGCTTTAACAAATTTGTTCAATCTTTCTCTTACAACAAATAAATTTCCGACAAGGTGGAAAATTGCAAAAGTCTTTCCATTACATAAGACAGAGGAAAGGGATAATGCAAATAATTATAGGCCTATTTCGGTGTTATCTTCAATTGCACGTCTCTTTGAGCGCCTTGTGTATAACCAAATGTATATGCTTATTTATCTAAACATAGACTAATCAATACCCGTCAATCTGGATTCCGTTCACTTCACTCTACCATGACAGCCTTACTGGATATGACAAATCAATGGTGTTTTAATATTGATAAAGGGATGTTAAACGATGTGATTTTTCTTGATCTAAAGAAGGCTTTTGACACCATTGATCATGAAATTTTGCAAATGAAACTTGCATGTTATGGTTTGAAAGAGTGTAGTTTGGAATGGGTTGCATCCTACTTGACAAATAGGGTACAAATTTGTCATGTAAATGGCATATATTCAAATGAAGAAACCATTTCCTGCCGGGTCCCACAAGGTTCCATTTTGGGTCCGGTCTTATTTTTGCTATATATAAATGACCTACCCAGTTGTTTGGAACATGGAATTGCCAGGCTATTTGCTGACGATACAAATATGACTTCCACAGGTTGCAATTTGGAATCAGTCGAAAATAAAATGCAGATTGAGCTTAATAAAATATTCAAGTGGCTTTGTGCAAACAAGTTGACACTGAATATTTTAAAGACCGATTTCATGGTTATTGCTTCTCGACAAAAGCTATCGGCCTTGGGAGACTCAATAACATTGTCAGTAAACGGTGTTTCATTAAGCCAAGTTCGTTCGGTGAAATCCTTAGGAGTAAACATAGACGAAAACTAAAATTGGGAAAACCATGTGAAGAGTATTCGCTTAAAAGTATCCCGTAATATTGCTACTTTGAGGCGATTACTTGAAGCCCATTTTAACACACAAAAAACCTAGTATCACTCTATCGGGCGATAATTGAACCATATTTCATTTATTGCTCCATAGTTTGGGACAGCCTTGGTCAAACATTAGACAAGTCTCTACAAATTTTACAAAATAGGGCTGCCCGTGTGATAACTGGGCACATTTCTCAACATCGTCCTCAAAACTCTTAAAAGAACTTGGCTGGATGAATATTCAGGAAATGAGGTATAAACAAAAGGCTATGATGATGTATAGAATAGTAAATGGTAATGCACCATCTTATTTAATTGACATATTTAAACATTGTCATGCTTTGGATATATATAATCTCAGAAGGTCTAAAATAACCTTCGAACTTCCAAAAAATCGAACACTGTATTACAATTCAAGTTTTGCTTTCACTGGTGCTAAATTATGGAATTCTCTTCCGGATGAGATAAAAGACGCACCATCACTTAAAATATTTGTAAAAATGTTAGACTCGATTATATTCTGTGCCAACTAGAATATGTTTTCTGTATATAGTTTTATCTATCTATCTATCTATCTATCTATCTATCTATCTATCTATCTATCTATCTATCTATCTATCTATCTATCTATCTATCTATATTTTTGGCGAAAGACAAAAATACAATAATTTCGAAAATTAAAACTGAGCAACACCATCATGGCAAATCCAGCAGCCCAGATGCTGAAAAACTTTGGCAAATTAGTCTATGTATCACTGGGGTTTTTTTATTTCCCGAGCATTTTAAACAATTTTTCCGGCTTTATAGCATCAAAAGTTTGCATATATATTGTTTTGGTATTTTTGTTTCTTCGCTCGCTTAAAAATTCAAGCGACAGTAAAAGCATGCGCGTGACGTCAGTGAGTATATGTTAGGAGAATTTCAACGTCGATCTTTTGAGTAAAATTGTTTACTATGTAATATATTTTCTACTTATATTATATTATAAAAGAAATAGAAAAACTCGTCTCGTGCGTTTATAGTGCGATAATGCATTCGGGGAATGTCGGGAGAATACTCCCAACATTCCCCGCGTGCATTATCACACGATAAACGCGCGCGACTCGTTTTCTATTTCTTAAATAACGATTGGCCTCTTTGAAACACATATCGGTAGACAGTAGGTTCAAAATCGACTATACCACTACTGCTACTTATCACTGCCAGCTGCATCCGATTGTTTTTTTAGGTAGATTATACCTATTTGATTCGTTAATGGTATAGCAATAGCAGCCGTGCATGTCAAATCTGATTCACATGTCACTTCAATTCATGGATAGTATTTTGTTCTCGTGTCCCCATTTGGAGGCAAGTTCTGGCCTCTTACTCAGTAAAAATCTTTTATCCGCGTTTACAAGACAGAGCTCTTTTGAGGTGCACGAATTACAGAACTGGCCGCAAAGGTTTGAAGCTACTAGCAGGACATGAACTATTATCCTGTTATAGTACGTCAATCGAGCAATTATCCTGCTAGCCAATATAGAGAGCCAATCAATCTGATATCAGCTAAATTGCAGAATTGCTTATATTTATAGCAGTTGTTTATATAATAATCATTATTACTTAGCCAAGAATACACCCAGATTGTGCCGTTTGGAGCTGAATAGCAATATAATTTTATTTCAGCTAAAATTAAAATATGATACATGGCTGCTCATGATTGCACTCCTGCCGACTGGCTACAATAAAGTCAAGCAGGTGTAAATCTTTAACAAATCTCTACCATGCATAATAGTTCCCGGGGAGAAAAATTGGCGAGAATATCACAATAGTTTGTTTTAATAGTGAGTTTAGTATTATGCCTTTATTATAACCGCTTATATTTAGATCTGATACGCAGCTAACCAATTATATTTCTAATTTTCACAATAGAAAGTAATTTTACACGAAGAAATTGCGATCTTTTGTTTTATTATTATTTAAATCAATGCCCATAAACTTATTTACACATTCGTTGTTCATGGAACGGTCGATCGGAAGTATCCACAGGTAGAAGAATATTTATATATAGAATATCGCTGCCGAATTTTGACTTTAACCGTTCGGATTTCCTGTCCGAAGAAAACTCTATTATCACATGTATCGGTCAACCTAAATTAAAAGTTTACAATCTGTAAGATGATAACAATTTTTTAATAATTCCAAATTAATAATTCCAAAAGCTTAGCCGCGTAGCTACATCCTTTGCCTTTATTAGAAGCGCTCATATTTATAGATCTGATTACGTATAGCTATAATCAATTATACTTTTAATTTTCACAATAGAAAGTCATTTTACACGAAGAAACTGCGATCTTTTGTTTTATTGTCATTTAAATCATTGCACATAAACTTATTTACACATTTATTGTTCATAGAACGGTATATCCAAAATATTTACAGGTAGAAAAGTAATATGTAGAATGTGGCTTCCGAATTTTGATTTTACTACCGTTCGAATTTTCTGTCCGAAGAAAACTCCATGTTATATGTTAACTAACCTGAATTAAAGTTCAAATTCTGTAACATGATAATAATCTTTTAATAATTCCAAATTTAGCATCATTCAAATATAAATGTAACACAAAGGCAATAAATATAAATGGCAGGTTTTTGTAATGGTTGACCACAAAACGGGATTTTTTTTAATTGCTTTAACGATCAACATTTACATACAGTATGAAACACGAATTAAAAAAATTGGAATAGTATAGATACCTTATAAAAATAATCAAATTACATCCCCCTTCCCTCCCCCAACCCACCCCCGATTTCGAACAAACATCTGCAAATCAATTATTCCAACGAATGTCAAGATCATGTATAGACTTTAGAATTGGACTTGTTCCTATTGAAAAATTTTACTGCATGAATTAGTGTGATATATAACTTGGGTTGTTTTTCCCGGGAGATTTTATTACAAAATTCACATATGATTTCACTTACGAAAATTTCACATGTGAAAATGCCTTTTCATATGTGAAGTGTTTCATCATATTATTTCTTTATTATGCATGCTCTTGTGATGTTTTATCATATCTTTTCTTTATTATGCTCTTGTGATGCTTTATCATATCTTTTCTTTATTATGCTCTTGTCATGTTTTATCGTTTGCTATTTGTAGGTTTAATAAACATTCTATAATTGCATGTTTATTATATTTAATATAATTAAAACATAAATTTATTCTTCTTTTCGAAAAAATAACTATATTAAAACTACTCCGGCATCATGTATATATTGATTAGGATATTGTGTATTTGTACAAATGATAAGGTGGGATATATTATTGTTAATCATGTCTTCTAAGAATTTTTACCGACATAGGCTACGTTAATAAAATTGAATTACTTTTTTAGTTGTAATTCGCATGCTATATCCGATGTGTCAGAAGTAAATACTTATAGTACTTTTAGTACTTCTAGTTTTATTCTTTCTGTAAAGCATATTACAGCGTGTAAAAATGGTGATCAAGGTTACAAAGTACCCTTAGTGGTGTACAAACATAACACATTTACTTACTTCCAGGGAGTATTCCCCTGAATTGGCCGACAGAATGAGAATTTTGAGTTTCAAAAATCTAGCTGTAATTCGCTTAAAGAATCCGTTAAAGACCGTATATAGCAACACCGTTTCATTCAAACCGAAAGTTCAAATGATATTTTGAC